TGTGCTCGTTTGTCATCCTATCCTATAAAAAAAGTAAGGTTTAATAACATATAGGGTACCTATAGTTACTTAATAGCAATAAGTAATCTATACAATAATAAAATTGAGGTGTGTGTTCGTAGTGTCAAAATAACAGCTTTTTACTAAATGCATATTATGGAAGTATAGGTAGGCTATAGCTTATAACAATTTTTTTAATTTGTGGGTTTTTCCGGATAATCTTTGAAACATTTGGACCGATTTTGACGGGACTTTCACTGGCAAATCGCTACTTTTATTTTAGGTAAAGAATAAGGGTTCCGCGCAAAAAAAATTAAAACCCATAAAATTCAATTTCACGCGGGCATAGTCGCGGGAAACAGTTAGTAATACAACAACTTTCCCTGTGAAATACAATAATAAAGATTTAGAATATCTGTTATAATATTTCCTTCTTTCGTTTCAATACAATCTAACTAAGTAAATAACTTGACTGAAAGCAGAGACATAGCAATGAAAGCACAGTCGATTTATCAGCGGTCATCCCACTGAGTAAGCCACAGCGTTACGGCGGAACGGGAGCTCACAAGCATAATATGCACGTGGCCAAATTTCTAAAATTCCCGCGTCTTGCAGATCCCACCCGTAAGTCACGCCGATAGTCCTGGATAAAGGGCCAGCGGCACAAAGGAAAACGACGATCGCCCCCTCGCCTCCACCTGCTGTCCCCCGGTGGGGTGTGGAGGGCCCCCCGGGGATCAATTTCAGCGGGCGCGCCTTCTCGGCTCGCGTGGCGAAGTAATCGCCTTAGACCGGACCTTAGTGTCGTTATGTGGCTAGTTTTGTGCTTGATGTTTAGGATTAAGCGTGTAGATACGTGTATATTATGCGACTATAAAACTATTTTCTGTTGTGTATAATATATTCGTATAGAATTTTTAGTTTTTATTTATAATACCTAAGAAGTATCATTTCTAAGTCACCACAGTTAATAAATTTTATATTGTTTTGGTAGTATTCAAAGACTTGATTGATATTCTCTTTTTGGTAAAATAACTTTTTTAAAGGCGGTGAAATTAAAAATTTTGTACAACTGACTTAGTAGCATCAATGTAATCAAAGTTAATTGAAAACGCACTATTAAAGATAACTCATAAACTACTGGTCAGATCTTGATCAAATTTGTATAGAATCACATGAGAAGCACACGCTTTTAAAAAAAATAGTATCGGTTCACAAAGAAAAAGTTCTGAAGTAACACTCATAAAAAATATAGTCGAATTGTGTACGTCCTCGTTTTTAAATTCGGTTAAAATATAGGTATATTAAAATGCTTATTTGACTAGGTGAAACTACGGCGTCAAATCCTGGTATTATTCGTTTTTCTATTTCCCATACAATTTCTATAAAAAAATCTTTGCACACAGCATAAAACAGTATTTCAATTGATTTAAGCCTACTACCCTCATCAACATCATTTCTACACATCATCTAAACCTAGGCCTTGTCTGTGACAACACATGGTCTTGAGCATGTCCTCTCAGGTAGACCGCTATACGCTCTGTTTACGAAATTTAGATTGCTTCTAGGGAACATTTCTATTGTAAATATTAATATTGTTCTTAATAAGGTACTTAAGACATTTATTTTTCTAATATATATGAAAAATATTTTTATAGAAGCAAGGGTGACAAACTTATACACGGTTAAGACGGAATTCGATACAAGAAAACGTTTTAATCATACGTATTTGAATAACGTTCCAAGGCTGTATTTAGATAAGAGTACAAAGAGCCATATGATTTCAATGAAAATTTGTAATTATTATTTAAAATAATACAATACTTTCTCGGTATTGCAGCAGTCTCGCGTGTGAAATCTAATAAAAAATCACCCAAGTGCATGCTATGCATAATTAATGCTCTGACCCAACAGTCTTGATTGGGCATAATGATTGGGGACAGCAAGCATTAAAGCATTTTCCTCAAAAAATTACTTAAAAAAATGCCAACACCTCTTTATTAATAGTTGAAGTTTTCTAAATGGTGCCTCTGGTTGGGAGGCAAATACAATTTCAGAATAGATAATAAAACAATATAGGTATATATATATATATATATATATATATATATATATATATATATATATTGTATTATTATTGTTATTACCTCCTTATCTATATGTGATGTTTATTTAGACTTTTCTAATCTAAATATTTTAAGGTAGTTTGGGAGAACCGTTGCAGCCCACTAAATTTCTAAAAAATTCCTAAAAAACACAATTTCAAGTATGTAACTAAATGAGACACTACCGGAAAAAAATTCTGTGACTGACAGACAGACGAACAAAAGAAAGAGAGACATTCAACAGAAGAGACAGAGAGAGAGAGAGAGAGAGAGAGAGACAGTCTTGGTGACAGTTTGTTACTGGTGATTTATGACAAAGAGTTATTTTTTCTTATAGTGTTTTTATTGTATATAGTATAAAGAATTCATCCTTACAATTTTAATACTTAGTGTAGTGTAATATTGGTTAGTGTAAGAATATATATATTCTTACATATGTGTAGATATATATATATATATATATATATATATATATATATATACATATGTATCTATTAACATAAAACTTACCTAGATCGGACTGAAGGCCGAGCTCTGTCAGATATATCAGTGAGATCTATTAGATATATAGTCTAGAAAAAGTCATTTCAGTATCATTTTTCCATATATTCTTAACCTCGTTTTCATTCAACAGCCTATTTATATGCTATTTGCTATTTGCTTATTTATATGATAATTGAGCTGTTACTTTACCTTTTTATACCTCTACCTAGAGTTTACTAAAATATTTACTGTTATTTTCTTAATTTATATTACTTTTAGAATATTTCAACTACGTAGAACAAGAACGTTTAGTTTATGACGTTCAGCTTTGAAATGTAGAACAATCGACGCGGACATAGTATGTCACGATGCAGGGAGAGATTTGCAATCGAATTGTTTATTTTATTCAATTGTATGCTATTAATATATTTACGATCCGTCCTTTTAACCAACTCATAAAAAGATAGAAGTTTTATGTTTTTCGGAATATTTCTAATGTATATTCAGCAATAATTTTTTACCACGATGTCACGCTGCACCACCTCATAGATGTTCCCATATAAATTTGGTCATGACCCATGAGAAAATAATTTTGTCAATTCACTTTACCATCTTCGGCTGCATTAACCCTTACCATCAGCTGGTATAGTATCTAGTCCAACACTGGCGAGTAATAGTAAAAAAAAATTGCAAAAACATGATATGTAATATGGATGAATAATTCCTTACGACGTCAACCGATTTACCGATAAGATGTAACCTATTAATGAGCTCCTGGGTTCGAATCCTGGGTCGGGCCAAAATATCAATTATTGAGTTTTTTCGTCAAGAAATTTTCGGTAGTTGCCCGGAGTCAGGAAGTTGGCGGTGTCTCACCCCCGTGCCTCCGAAAGCACGTAAAGCCGTTGGCCCTGCACCTGATCTCTCTCCGGTCGTGTCGGTTTACCGTCCCATCGGATTATGAGAGTGAGGGAATAGAGGGTGCACCTGTGCTTGCGCATACACTTGGGCACTATAATCCTGTCCTGCGCCGATGACTAGTCACCGTTGAGGCAGGCCGCCGTGACCGAAATTGGGTCTGGAGGACATTATAACCTGGTGTGCTAGGCAAAATTCTATACCCATTTTTTAGTTTTGCCTTTTCTTAAAAGAATATTTAAAAAGTTATACATATATATTGCATATTAAGTATATTGGAGCATGGCATAATATATTAACACGCGCAAGGGCGTTTGTATATCCTCTGCTCGTATACGCATGTACTCTTCAGTTCCAAAGTCACGGTATTTGTTTACGTGGTAGAGCCACGGGGCAGGTTCGCCACGCTCTCACAGAATACCAGCGTAAAATAGCAGTTTAATGCTGCTGTGTTTCGTATGGTGAGTGTAGAGAATCGGAGAACCTTTTTACTGGAATTCAGGCTTCCATCTTAGTCCTCAAGGGTGACAACGCATTTGCATTTTTATTCTTAATTGAGGATAAATGTGGATTTTTATGGGCCACAGCATCCACTTACCATCAAGTGGACTGTGTGCTCCCTTGTCACCCAATGCTATTATAAAATAGCTATTTTTACTGGAATTTAGGCTTCCATCTTAGTCCTCAAGGATGACAACGCATCTGAATTTTGATTCTTAATTGAGGATAAATGTGGATGTTTATAGGCCACAGCATCCACTTACCATCAAGTGGACTGTGTGCTCCCCTTGTCACCCAATGCTATTATAAAATACCTATTTTTTATAAAAAAATTAGCTATTTTTTATAAATATTTTTTATAAAATAGCTATTTTTTAATAGCATTGGGTGACATGAGAGCACACAGTCCACTTGATGGTAAGTGGATGCTGTGGGCTATAAACATTCACATTTATCTTCTCAATTAAGAATCAAAATGCAGATGCGTTGTCACCCTTGAGGACTAAGATGGAAGCCTGAATTCCAGTAAAAAAAGTTCTCCGATTCTCTACACTCACCATACGAAACACAGCAGCATTAAACTGCTATTTTACGCTGGTATTCTGTGAGAGCGTGTCGAACCTGCCCCGTTCGTGCTATCACTATAATATAGCTGCAACGTGGCTCTACTACGTAAACAAATACCGCGACTTTGGAACTGAACAGTATATGCCCAAAAGAGTAATTCAGCATGCCATGCTGTAAACTGTAACCTGTAAACTGTGAAGAGGTCAATTATAAGTGACAATGTCAAAGTAAAATAATAATTTAAAACTTTTATAAACATAACTAATTATAATTACTATCGTTATTCAGATCTTTTCCCGATTAACTCCCATTAAAATCTTCGAGAAGAAATCAGGAGGTCTTAAAATTAAAAAAATACATTCTTGAGATATCTACTTTTATATTCTAAGCTAGAATATTTCTATTTGCCGAGAAAAAAGACCAACAATGAAAACTGGAACAACGATTTTCCCAATAAAAAAAGCATCAAGAGGCCAGTTTCAAGCTTTGCGAAACGTCCAGCCGGCTAAGCCTCGCGTACAATGGGCGAACGTTCGCAGTAACTCAGTACCGACACGTTCATACGTTCGAGTACAGTCGCCTGCACAAGCCGCAAACGTGCGGAGGAATCCGTGGGAGGGGGGACCCCCTCCCCCGACCGTGCGACGTCCTGTCACTGACAAATGGCCCGAAGGAGAGCTCGACCCCGGCACCCTCTCCAGCCTCGGCGTGTAGTTGCTGTTTTCTAAGATAACGCTGGCATAGCTGCTATTGTTCTCTGAACATTTCATATATTATATTATGTTTTATTTCATATATTACGTATAACTTAAAATTGTCTCGTTAATTATTACGGAAAATTAACGTAAGAATTTGGTGTTTCACATTATTGTATTTTGTATTGTGTAATATACCTACAAACTACAACGATGTCACCCAGAGGGTAGGCAGAAACTGCGGACTTTTTGATACGTTTCTGACACATCAAGACGTTTATCTCTCGCTTCTTTCAAAGCCATGTATTTATATTTATATCACATCCATACATTATCCATATATTTTTACGTAGTAGAGTCTTACTGCAGCTATACAAGTTGTATATTGTAGCATGATTGGACCGGCTTGACCAGGGAAGGAACACGCTCTTACAGAATACCAGCGTAAAAAAGCAGCTTAACGTGTTTGATATAATAATAATAATATTCCACAACTATCACACAACGCCATCTAGTCCCAAGCTAAGCAGAGCTTGTGTTATGAGTACTAGACAACTGATAAACATACTTATATATTTTTAAATACATAAATATTATAGATAAATTACACCCAGACACAGAAAAAATGGTCGTGCTCATCACACAAACATTTGTCCTGGGTGGGATTCGAACCCACGACCTCCGGCTTAGCAGTCAGGGTCACTAACCACTAGACCAACAGGCCTGTCAAACGAATATACGATTTTTCTAAGATAAAGTTAAAAAAAAATATTCGTAGATATTTTGTACATTTAATTTATAAGTTATCACTTGATTACTTTACTTTATACTTAAATATATATATATATATATATATATATATATATATATATATATATATATATATATATATTGATGATTAATGAAACTCGTAACTGGCCCAACTTCAATATATCGCTAATTCGGTCTTTAAACTTTCTTTCATCCAACGTCTCTTGACCACTCTGTCACTCACTTCTGCAGCATATATAATATTCGTTTTGTCATTTTTAGATCTATTATTTCGTTCTTTGTATTCATGTAGGTTAATTTCAGATTTTTACCATCCATCACAGAATATAGGCCTATCCCAAGCAAAATAGCAAGTTTTAAAACAAATAAGAGCGATAAATGAGAATTTTGAGGCAACCTTGTTTTGTGATAGATATCTACATCTTCAATTAGTAATCAAAATGAAGATTCGCTATCACAATTGAGAACCGAGATGGAATACCTTAATATACATAGTAAAATGTCTTTACTTGTTATAACTTAGGTACTACAGAAAGCACAGTATTATTCTATTCTCTTATGCTGGTGTTCTGTGAGCGTAATGTGCTTCCTCGACTGAACTGCTGCTTTTTGCTGGAGTCATATTACATCTGCAGCATGGTTTAAGCATCCGCAGCATCTAATGACCTATCTCATGTATATTGGTGTCTTTAATCAGTCTAGATATTTTTTGACTTGACAACTTGTGGGATAAAATAAGAAAAAAACGCAATTTTCTTGGTTAGTTTCTTCGTGTCATCCATCGAATTGCACATCCATATATTATACAAGATATTACAATAGAATTTTTATTATTATAAAGAATGTGTTTTGCTTTATAATTCTAAAGCGCTATACTTAGTTGTGAAATATTTGTTTTATCTTCAATGTATTTTATTAACTGCAGTGTGCGAGGAGCCGTATCCAGGAGGGTGCTATAATTTCATAGGACGGGCGTCGGGCGTCGCTTATCTCGGGCGCTGGTTGCAGGCGCCGCGAGCGTCGCCTCAGCCTCCCCCCCTCCAGCACCGCATCCCACCCCGCTGCTCCCGTTCTTCGCTTTTGTGCCCGAATATACTTCGGATATTGAAAATTTTCGATATCCACATACACGAGATTTGGTATTTTAAATTTTTTTGTCTAGAAAAAGATCACTATCTGTACTCATATTGATTATCAACGATTGTTGGAGTTAGAATCAAGATTAATTTTCGGAAAAAAAAATACACACCGAAATAATACTACGAATATCGCGTATATTTACAAATACCCCCCCCTGTAAAGCAAGTATTTAGTAAGTTAAATATACGCGATAAATTCCGAACAAACAATATTGCGTAAATAATCTCATAGTAATTTTTATTCATACTAAAAAGATATTTAAGGAGCCCTTCCGAATCGATCAATATGATACGAATCTATACATAAGCCGACATGCAAGAACCTTAGGGCTAAGTGTTTGCCGTAAATTTCACAGCACGCGGGCAACCCGGGTTCGATTCCATTACACACAGGAAATTGTTAATTGAAATTTATATTGATAAGAGGACAGTGCTCGACTGTGAAGGAAAACATCGTCAGGAAACCAGCACGTTTAAGGAATTTAATATTTCTTACTACTAATTAAGTGCGCGTTATTTTAATTTCGATAGCTTTTGATTGATTTATTTAGTTTAACATTTTCGTTTTTATTTTTTAGTACATAAAGCTTATCTCAAATTAGTAGTATTTATTGATAGATCAATTTCACAATATTATCTTAATGATAAAGAATAAAAATTGTAAAATATCAGTGCCATAGGCTTCTATTCCGTTCATCTGTTACACCCAATTTTTTTCCAATCGGTAAAAATGGTAATCCAGTGTTTTTGATTAAAGTTTAAAGTGCAAATGCTTTGTCACCGCTGAAATATGAATTGGGACAACTCTCACTCATTAAAAAGGATGTCCGATTCTCGTCACCCCATACGAAACACATCTGTGTTATGCTGTTATCTCGCAATAGTATGCAATAGTATTGCAACCCCGGTCGAGCCAACCCATTCATGCCTCATCCATGATACATGGCAGTGTTGCTATACCACCTACGATGTGTTATCATCATCACATCATTGGCCTCCGGTAGTCCATTGTCCATTAGGACATATTTTATACGTGGTAGAGCCGTGCTGCAGCTATAGTATGCTTGTAGTAGCACCGGAGAAGGACCACGGTCTCACAGAATACCAGCGTAAAAATAGCAGCTCTATGCCGCTTTGTTTCGTATGGTGAGTGTTGCCAACCGGAGACCCTTTTTTACAGGAAACGAAGCATTCCATCTTAGTCCTCAGGGGTGGCAACGCATCTGCATTTTAATTCCTAATCGAGGATAAATTTAGTTATCTATGGGCCACATTCAATTAACATCAGGTGGACTGTGTGCTCGGTTGTTCCCTTTATTCCATAAAAAAAAAAAGTGAACATAAGTCTCTCCTAAGTTACTTATAGACTCCAATAAATAGACACTAATTTATTTGATTATTCGTTGATGAACATACACCAGGGAATTCCTCATCGGAGGAATATTTACTAGATATATAGATTTTGCGGTTTTTTGGGAAAACGTTTCTGGCCATCTCCTGCTTCTTTCCCCCCTGTCTTACCACATCCACGGGAAAATATTTTGTTTTCTCTATAGGTTTTCTCTCACCGCCACTACAAGGCCTGATTTAGGTATAAGATTGCGTAATCTATAAATACTTAAGGGGGAAATATAATATCAAATGGCTTAGCAAGATCCTTCGTTATGCCGAAAATATTGCAGCATTAATTTTGAAATAAATATATGGTAAAGTTGAGGATTAATGTTAAAGATTATGTTAGACGAAAACACGATTTCGTTAAATTTTGTCGATAGAAAAAAAATCAACAGTTACCTCCAAAATAAACAATAAACCGCTGTTATTCATCAAATACTTTAAATAAGATCATGAAACTTTGCATACTAACTGAACTAACTATAAAGCAGTGCTTATGTTATTTACTTTTTTTAAATACCATTATTTTCACTGTAAAAAGAAATTACCTAAGCTATCGGCCTCTTGAAGCGTGATTCCTGCCGCACGGTCACTTCGCTTCGGCCTTTGAACGGGGAGGTTGTGTCGCTTACGATCAGAATAAACATTACGCAACAGGACGACGTAAAATTAAAATAGGAAATAACCATAATAAAAATAAGAAGCGACTGGGTTGGCGTTAAGAAACAGGCATAAATATGATAAACCTAATGAAATAAGTGTCTAACGACCTTTCTACTTACAGTATTAGTGATTACAAACATGTCGGTACATAGCATACGACGCGCGGGCAAGTGGGGACGAAATTAGAATTTGAGCTGACTTACTCTATCCCCTTAACCAGATACGGACATATTTTGTGTTTTTTTTTAAACTAATTTCTTTTGTGGACGACAGTACCTACACCCGCGCTGCGTGTGACACTGAGTAATGTGACATTTTACGTGCACAAAATGCGATATCAACGGCTAAATTTCTTTTTCTTACGTTACAAGTTAAATAATATTTTTTCACTTTCAGAGCTATTTGATATTTGTGTTATTAAGACATGAATAACATGTATATACATTTCATTTTTTAACCGCATTTAGATTTTTAGTACGTAAAGATATACCTATGATGTAGGTGTATCACTATAATAATTGAGTAAAAAAAGAAAAATTACCACTTTCCTAACACGCTTGAACTCATAAAATCTAATACACCGTATTTTAATATATATATATATAAAAAGTATGGCATTCAGTATATTTTAAAAGTACGGAGAATTAACTTATTAGTGAATATGTTTTAAGGTTATGTGGTATGTCATTAATCTGTAGCATTTTAAAATGAAAGGTTTTTTGTTCAATAATTAAAATAAATTTATACGGTTTGTCTAAAATTTGAATTCGATTCAGAAACAAATTTGGTTTAGACTTTAGGAAAATAGTATTAGAATTTATTAATAATACGAAATATGTCACAAAGTACTTCTCTAGTAAAACGTAGTTAGGTATATACTCTGTATTTCCGAACGTAAATAATTACGGATGCGTTCAATAATAAGATTTTTAACACTGCGTTCTATTTTTTGTATCCATTAATTTAAGAAAAAAAAACAATGTTCTACATTTTGATGACAGTCTTCTGTCGGTAACAATATATGTTTTTTCCTAGTCCAAAATGGCCATTG